GGGGGGCTAGTCATGACATTTAATACCTTTAATTATTATTTTACATAGCCGTATATACCAAATTATGTGAATCTTAAAATATTAATATTTTCTCGTATCATAACTTCACCTTATTTAAGACATTTATAACTAAGTTAAAATTTGAACAAATTGTTATTCAATAAGCATTACATCATCTCTTGATTTAATTTCGTTATAAGCTTATTATGTATACTTTCATGTGAATATTAATATATTTCACTTATTTTAGTTATTGTAAATATGTACATTATGTAATTTTATCACATCAATAGGATTTTAAAACAACTTATAACAATTATACTATCTCTCCCCTTCGGCACAAACATTATGCTTTTGGAGCTGTTAAGCCATATTCCTTACCCATGTATTATGAATATCATATTTTATGTTTAATGGTTTACAGCAATAAATAAATAAAATAAAAAGATAAATAAAAAAATAAATACTAGAATACCTGAAAAGTATGAAATTAATTCTCTAAGTCTTAACAATGTAACATGATCTGTATAATTTAATGTTTATTGCCTGGGTTCCTAGTGTGTTATTCCCTTGTTTTAAAATTCTATAAGAATAAACTTGTACAAAAAAATTTGAAAACCTTAAATTCATAATAAATGGGTACAGAAAAATACATAGCAAAAAATAAAAATAAAAAAGCCACCAACTAATTTTTTTTTTTATAACTTCGTTATTTACTGTCTTACAAAATATGTAAATTGCGAGATACGCCAGTGCCTCGTGAGAAAACAGATATAGGTAAAAATGCGTTTGTCAAAATTATAGAATGCCATAGTATAAAATATATACTTATAACTAAACTTATATTTGCATAAAGACAAACATTCGCTCGTGGAAGGAAATAACAAAAGTGCATTTTAAAATAATATTCATATGGACATTTATAATTTGTCAGTTTGTATTCAACGTAAAAAATATAACCCAATGTAAATAAAAAATAATCCAATTGCTAAGTTTTTTTCTGCCCTAAGCCACTGCATTCAGGATACTTGGTAATGAATATTCAAACTTGAAATTTATAAGAATAAAAATGACAATACAATATAATACATTTGATATATTATTTTATACTGATGTTACGGGGTTTAGTTATATACCACGTGGGTATTTAAGAAAAATGTATTGAAGTAAATTATTATTTTATTCATTAAATATTATAATATAGTATAATATTACAAATTATATAAAAAGACGAACATTAAAATAATGTGATCTATAAAGTACCAAATTATTGTTGCATTTCTGATAATAGTGGCTTCAAAGCTAAATTTTTTTATCGAGAGAGCGCTGAAATATGAATTCACATATTATCGACTAGGTACTCCACTAACATTCTTTTTTTGATTATCATATTATAACTTGTGTTGATAAAATTAACCAATTAAACACCATTTTTACAAGTTCTAGAGTATTTAATTAATTATGTCTTAATATAAATTAGTATTAAAACTAACTGTTGGCATTTAGTGTAAAAAATAATTTAGCCAATATATTATGTATTTTTTTTTAAATTTAATCAGCAGATAATTTATATTTGACATACTTATTATTTTACTTTGTACTTAGTACAAATAGAACCAAGAATTATTTTTAGAAAAGTGTATAAGTACAAAAATACTACAATAATGAATTTAGATTCTGTACCTAACAGTTTTCGTGGAGCGGAATCCAAAGTATTGATTTTTGTTTCAAGCTAGTTCATTAACTTGTTATTTTCAAATTGTATTATACGACTTCACCCAGGTTAAAATCGATCAGTCTATCCAGTCTATCTATTGTTTTTAATTTTGCTTTAGTTGAAATAAATAATGCAAACATAATTATTACAATGATTCATTTTTTTTTCTATTTTTTAATTCTGGACATATTTTTGATGGGAACACAAAAAACTGGAGATAAATTCAATGAATTCTTAAAAGCAGATAAATTCAAATAATAAATCCAATTTAATTAATATTGATGTAAGTATTTTAGTATTTATGTCAATAGTTGAATACATATAAAATAGAATTAAGAAAGCAAATCATAAAATTAATATTGCAGTTGTTTTTTTCAAGTGCTTAATTTTCAGATTTGTTAAAAAAAAAATTTTAAAAATTTGTAAACATTTTTATGCCATTTTCTACTAATATTGAAATAGTAATATCATTTGAAATCTGTAACCAATGGTAATCATAACCTCTTATAAACGAAAAATCTCAATTTTAAAAACTAAATTCTTTTGTGAGTCTGTGCTAGCCAGCACCGTTTAACACTTAAAGGGATTGAAAAAAAAAGATACAAACACTCTCCGAATCTCAAGAATGCTATTGGTATAACTTTTTTGAAAATGGTCCAGTAGTTTTTGAGTCTATATAGGACAAACAAAGAAACATTCATTCTCATATTATATAGAGAGTTTACAATCTAAACAAACATCGTGATTTACGGACCGTCCATCACTACACGATACTATTGTTAATCCAATTTATTTAACTTATTTTAAAGTCACATGCGTACGGTAGGTATTCGTACGTGAGGAATCTTTTTGGAAAACAGTGAATTTATATGGCATAGAAGGTCTGATGTTACTTTATAAAGTATTCAAGTAAATGCACGTGTTTTTTGTTTTATTAATGGGTTTTATATCACAATATTATATTTTTTCCACAATATTATTGATAACAAATTCTTAATGCAAACATTTACAATTTGCACTTAACTTTACAAAGCTGAAATATGATTTTATCACAATCAGACGAAACATTTATGGAAGTCCTTATTTCAAACAGATTTTGTTCATATATTTTTGAACCAATCAAAATATATATATACTTTGACATAATATGTTCACTCATTTGTCTGTAACTATATAGCTGAATCATATTAAATATACTGTGAAAAAGTTTCATTAAAAGTTGTTCACCTCCAAAGTCATATTTCGAAGTTTATTTCCCATTCAAATTTTTTTTTTAGTTTCGAACAATTCGCATACCAACTCAAGATCGTTGATAAAATGTATCTATTTCTTTTAGAAAGCCCTCGGTTCACAGTACCTCAATTTGGATGGGTAGTGGGTAGATTGTAAAACAATTTATATTTTTTCACACATTTCATATGCTTAAAAGCAATGGCGCTTCACAGAGTAAAAATCCATCATGTATTTTTTCGAAGACATTAAGCATGTGTACTGTGTAGGGCGATTTTTTTAAAACATCTACGAGATTGTTTTTTACAGGACGTTACGACGCGACGCTGGTTTTCCGGCCAAATGTTGTGAAAGAAACAACACAATTATAATGTTTAGACATGGTATACCTACTATAATTTACTTATTTTCATAGTATACACAAATGTCGATACGTTTGTATAATGTGTATAATATAAATTAAAATTTGTTACCTGACATTGAGTTTCTGGATCTGGATACATTTTTCCTGATCTATCACACACAAAACTTGTCAAATGTACGTTTTTAACGTTTGATTGGACATTTATAATTTGATTGACATTGTGATTGAACTGGTCGACGTAGGGCCGATGGGCATCATGTGAATTCCAACTCTAAAATAAAAAGTAGGTAAATAAATTGTACATATTTGTTTTAACTAAGTACCTATCATGTTTCATTACAATTTATATATTATATAAAATCTGCATTTATGTATATTTTTCATTAGAAATAGAGGCTTTAATATTACTAGGTCCATATTTAATATTTATTCATATAAAATTAATATCTTATTTTAACTTCAATCACAAGACATTTTGACCAACATTATAGTACCTATGACGTATTTTTACAAATATATGCTATTTTTATATTTTTAGACGCATTTTTCACGAATTTCCAACACAAATTAATCAATGATGAATGTCGTAATAGTAACTATTATATTTTTAAACGATTACATCAGTTTGCTAAAATGTATTAATGATAAATGCTTAAAATAAATTTAAATAATTTTAGGGGATTAGAAAGATACTTAGTTCAATAATTTAAATGAAGAACAAAATCATAAAAATATAAATATGACACTTACACCATATCACAAATTTATCTACGCTTCGTTTAATACGTTTAAATATTGATTACTAGCATTCAATACTTATTTATCATGCATAGTTAAGGCATTTTATTACTTCAAAAATTCTATAAAAAAAATTATAGGTATAAATAATATCGAGCTTACTTTGTTTTTTTTTTGTATTTAAATTCATTACATAAGTATTCGGATGAAAAGTGTTCGAAGAAAAATATGTTCGAATGAATTTTTGTTATAAATAATAATATAATATAATATAATTTATTGTTTAGAATATATATAAATATATATATATCGGACATCGGTACGGTAACTATTTTAACTTTTAAGAGTAAAAAAAATGTTCTTATAAATGTTTTCATCGTAAAATTAAAAATATATTTCTGTAAATGATATTTAAAAGTAAAAAAGTGTTTATATCCCTAAATGTGTACATTGTCAAGTTAAAAGTTCAAATTGTGTGCAATGCTTCTTAAAAACTCAATGTTATTTTGATTATTATTTTTAAATCTTAAAACCAAATTTTTGATTCTTTTTTGTGTTGTTTTTTGGATACCTTTACTAGTAGTGCCCCAAAGATATCTAGGAGAAGGTCTAATCCGAATTGAGGCCTGATTAATTTTTACCCTTTCTAAAATTTTTATCGTTCCCCTTGCGGTAATAACGACGTTAGCAATCAAAATATACATTTATAATATAGTATGTTATCTTAAATACAACTAAGAAGTACTCATATAAATAATCGCAGAACAAATATATTGGAAAAAGAAACATTTATTAGAAATACTAGAAACAGTTAGAAGAAAACCAAATTGACAAACTATAGGTTACATAAAAATAATATCATACAATTTTTTACCAGTGCCATAATATCAGTTAAAAATATCTTATATCTTATTATATCTTAAAAAACAATCACACACATATGTTTTTTACGATATTATTAATTTTAAAAAATAACAATATTTTAACCTACCTGTAGTACTGATGCTACAGATAATCCTGCCTATACAAAAATGGGAAAGAAAATGAAAATTAGAACATATAATTTTATATTACAAACATGTTTAATTTGTACAATTTGGGCCTTAATCTGTGTGTACCCCAAAAAGACCTGGGTGTAATTGGAAGTCACTTTTACCGCTGGACGCAACTCGGCGCAACTAATTTCCACCCATTATTCATACTTAATAATATTATTAAATATTATGTAATAAATGTAATATTATGACTTGTGACCTTGTGTTATAAATTAGTTATTTTAAATTTAGTAAAATATTAATGCAGTCTAGAACTTATGGCTAGTTGTCTTGTTTGGTAGTTTCAACCATTTTTTTATAAATGTAAGACTCAGTGGAATTTAAATATAGTATGGAGCGGGCGGAGAAATGTAGGTATTTAGCTTGTTGTACAACAGGATGTTTTGGTGGAATTGACTCACAGTTTCGATTGTATTTGTCTTGCGTTTATTTTATATATTTTATTGTTAAACTTAAATAGTTGATATGTAGAAATGTACAATTAGGAATTAGTGTCATGTGAATTTGATGAGCCTATGCGTAATAATTACGGCACAATAATAACAAATAACGAGAAGTCAATAATTAGATACTTAAAACGTGCGTTTTAGTTATTTATAGAAATCAAGTAAAAAGATGACAGTTAAAAATAACAAACCACTTAATAGTGTCCCTGTTTTAATTTTAAGAATGCCCATGCGTGCGTATAAAATATATTATACCAACTCTAAAGACACAATATACATTGTCAATTAGATACGGAAGTAGATAAAAAAATTGCTTTTTAATGTTATGTTTCAATCTTTGACCGTTTATAGAACGCTTTTTCAGTACTGTAAGATATACCTCCAGTTTCCTAGTATTATAACCAGATTTTAGAAAACAACTGCAAAAGGTAATTTAATTTCTCCTCTTATGGTGAAAAAAAATGTGCCTATTCAATTTAAATTTATGTGTATTTATTTCCGTACATTTTTTACGGGTTACCATGCATTGGGTAGTATACTGGGTACATGATAAAATAAAATGCATATACATAAAAGCATTTATATACTGCAGTAAGAGATTAGAGTTTTCTTGTTGAAACAATAATATCCTGTATTCCTGTATAACATTCAGTCATTTTGAAACAATTGTGTTAAGCACGTACCTACACTATACACAGGACCGTTATGCAAATATACATGAATTATATTATGTATTTTGTACATATATACCATACCTACTGTATTATAGAAATCTGAATGACTGAACATAATTATAATAATAATTTATACATTTTGGAATTTTGCATTTATCTCAGCATTCAGCGAGCAGCGAACGTAGTGTTGGCTATAGTTACCTATTATTAATAATAATAATAATATTATATAATACGTATATCTATAGGTACACTTGAGAAACCGTACGTACTTATATTATTTAACTGATTAATTGATACCTATTAATTGCACTAATTTCAGTATGGGTGGTTGCTGCAAAATAAAAATACAGACTCACCTGATTATAGAAAAATCCATATATTAGGTATATCGGTATAATATACATCAAAAAAATGTTTGAGCACGTAAGGACGTGTCTTGCTGTTCCCAATACCTACCTATGTCATAACTTTGGTAGCTAATAATGTTTTTATATTATTTTACTTCTTTTTTAAGACTTTTCAAAGTATATAAATATTATTTTTAATGCAATGTATGGTAATAATTTATAGTAAATATATTACATGAAAATGTGATGTTTATTTTGGGTTTGTCTGATTGATATTTTTAAATTTTTTCCCAGTTATTGTGTTATATGTGGAGTATTATTTTTTAATTGACTCATTCTCATAATTATTAATGGATTTTAAGATTTAAGTGTTTTAAAAAAAAAAAAAATTAAGGATGGTGACTTAATGGAATGTCCCTGATATAGACCACATATTCACACCCCATGTCCCACATCACTACATTATCTATACTTTAGCCTCTAGAAGTAAATATCCAAATACTAATACTCGTTAATTTGATGTTTAAATGCTTAGTGAATCAATCTTCCATTATATGGCGTAGGAGCAGATATTTTCGAGACATTTGATAAATGATTAACACTGGGGTTAGTTTTTTTTTTAAATTATAAATTGTTACAAACTATAAAGTACAATAGAATTACATAATGTTATAAAACAAGCATCTATAGAAATAACTGACTTGGATATATAAAAACGTATACATTTTTTGTAGCGAAATTCCAAAATAAGTATAGTTGTAGAAACGACGTGTTCAAATCGGCCGAGGCACGAACAAAGTATGGTGTTTTTTTTTACATTACTTAAAAAGTTGTAGCTACCTACTATATAATATTCAATACCTATTGTGCAAGTACTTCTTAGTATTTTGTTTTTAAGGTTTTTCCTTTAAAAAGAAAGTTTGTTTTGTATTATGTTTTCCCACAACCTAGCCAATCGTTAGTAATTATTCTTCCACTGGTTTGTCGGTGGTAATAAACACTTACGTCCAACATAATGATCGAATAGAGGGACGCCGTAAAATATTTGTTGTGTTACAACGGTTAAATTCACTGTTGTAGAAAAAAAAATTGAATTGGAAAATGTCATTGTGTGTATAAAATATAATAATATACCTACTCTAAAAGTTTCAAGTACCTACCCACGAATAATATTTTTAAATTACAACAAAATAATTCGAATTGTTATTCTTGGTTTTAATATGTACTTTCATCCAAATTTGAACTTAATAAAACCATAGAAACTGCGTTAATATATTTTTTAGATTTTTCAGTTACGGAATAAACTACTTACGAGGGATCTCGTATTAAATTTTAAATTTTGTGACTAAAGTAATTTTTTCAGAGTCACACCAAAAACCAAAATCGATGTGTAAGTAATCGAAAACTAATTTTGGGTACAAATCTCAGTTTTTCCTTGAATTTTTGTTTGTTTTTCCTGACACTTTTGAAAATTATTGAGAATTTTTTTCTTTTGACCTTCTAAAATACCAAATAGATTCACTTTTCTGTCAGAAAATATGATGTTGAAGAAAATCGAAGCATTTTCTGTCAGTGTTCCAAAGGGTGTAGACAGACACACAAAAAACACACATCGTAAAATCAATACATTCATCGCTCCACTAGAATCTAAAATATTACGTGTATGTTCACAACTAGTTGAAATTTTATATTTTACTTTTCTCGAGTGCAGACTCAATTGGAAAATTTTTCATTTATACCAGGACTCAATTAATATACCTATATATATTTTCCCATTAAGGTATGGGAATCAATTAGTTGGCTTAGATTTTATAGAGTCTTAGATTAATTTAATAACATTGATCATATAATTTACCTGTAATATAGGGTATAATGGAACACCTATTTGTCCCATAATGGGTGCGATTGACAACCGGCCGCTCTCAAAAACATGCTGAACAGACAGCTGTAGAGCTTCTGGTACCGGCCTAAACCTCGGCAGATTATAATTCTGTATATTCGAGGGTATTAATATTCTGTAAGTGGACTCTACTTCGTTTTCAGCCTCGTACCGGCCTTCTGAAGGTATAAACCTAATTAAAAAAAAAAAATGAATACAGCTAATAGTCATTAGTCAAGTATTAGTATTTATTTGTATTAAATTATATTATTATTTTTGGGTGCGGCAAAAACAATACATGTATGTAGGAGTACTTAATAATAATAATATGTATTATACCATGTGAGTGGAGAGCTGTAAAATCAAAATTCTATGCAGGTACGATGTGTGTATTGATATGATACGTAGCAACATTTATAATGAATTATAATCACTATAGGTATAGTATCGTCCATTTCTTAGCCCACACACAGTTCGGTGTATCAGTTTTTTTGCTTCTTCCTTTAATTCGCATGAACATTTTCAAGTGGGAAAAACTATTTTTTTCTTTTATTATACAAATTTCTTAGGTTATTGCTCCTTATACTCCTTATTACACGACTTAAATCGGGAAAATATTGTTTAAACTTTTTAATTTGATTTTTCTGGACAGATAGCGTCACTGCTGTTTTCCTATTTTCGTATTTTACTTGCTTTATACCATGTTCTACGGTAATATTATCTTAGTTCATGCTTATACCCGGTATCATATTAAGTGTAATTTTGTTGTTGTTGTGTAACTCTACTTGACAATGCTTTTCCACTAATGTATCTTTTTTCTCACTACTTTATTATGTGCATGGACGGAGTTATCCGTACGACAAAAACAGTGCATGGGTACTATTATTATTATGACTCCGAGTTGGGTACCTACCAATACCTATATTATAGGGGATATCCGTGTTATTGTAATTAAATCGGTCGTGCACCGTTGCTCACCTGCCGTCTGGCGTATGGATCATTTTGACTACTGAGTTGAGTAGTTCTGGATCGTTCCGTTGACTTTGGTGGAACGACTCTTTGGGTCTGGATTCGAACAGAATACCATCTGGCACAGATATTCCTTCTTTGTTCAGCATATTTAGTGCCAAGCGGTCTGCATGAAACGCAGAATCTGGTATTTTACCACCAAAGTATGGCAATACGTTCTCGCGGAACAACTGACGCTTTTGCTGTGAACAAAATTAACTCAAAATGTCAACACTATACCCATAGTTTTATATTATATATAACTTTTATTTATTATCACTAAACATCATATTATTACCTATAAAAGTACCTATTGAGTTTTTTAAAGCGAGTTAACGAGTAGCGAGTAGCACTGACGTGACCGAAACCACACGTCTTGCACATGGTACAATATTATATTTATACACATACAATAATTATAACATTAACTGTTAAGTGATGTGGCTCGGTGTCTACACTCAGTTGCGTAAGAGCTCTGAGTGTACGACGTACGTACCGGCCGGTGTTCCTAGCTCCCGGATGGGTGACCGCCCGGGATTTCTTGGCAACATAATATCCTTGCCACACATACAAATACGTGTTCCAATCTAACCAACACAAAAATCTACTAAAAAAAAAATACAGAATCCCCCGACCGTACCACCTCACACCCAATGGCTTATGTTGCCGCGGGTTATGATACCATTGAATGTTTACGTATAAAGAAATCTTTTCGTCTATTTTTAGTTCATAAAAATTACAATTTGTATATGTAAGTGATGTAACATTAGAGGGATTTGCGTTATAATTAATAGATGAGAAATAATTAATAAATGTTTAGGTAGATATAAGTTATATTATATTTTATTAAATTTTTTTTGATCAAAACCGCTGTCCATATTTTTGATGACAGATATGATATTTGACTAGTGCTGCTATTTTATCATGAACACATTTATACATCTCTATAGTAAGAGGCTAAAGTATGTTCCCGCGAGGTATACAATGTCCAAATACGGCCCTGAATTAGTATTTTATAAGTCCACTCTAAATATATGAGGAGTTATGTGTTTAGTCTATATAGATAAAAATAAACTTAAGTATAAATACCTATTTGAAAAAAATTGAAACTAGAAACTTACCCCCCCCCCCCCCAATTTTATCTGATCGTATTAATTTACACCAACATATAACGCTGTAAAACAGATTTATTTCCAATAAACATTCGACAACATTTTGAAATACGAATATACGATTCATTTGTCTGTTTGCAGTTTTAGATTGCACTATAAATTGCAGTTTATTGAAACATCCTACGTGCATAATATCAATAATTGTACATTCAAACCGTTTGGAAAACGACGAAATTCATTCAACACAGTGCATTTTTCTTTTTGCTGATAAATAATAAATTACGAGTTATATTGTTAATCGTGAAGATTTACTTTGGTTTTGCGGTGGTCATGGATGGAGTTGTAATGTAGCACATTATTGTCGCTATATTACTATCAATATTATGATAGTTTAAAATGTAAATACTGTCTGTTCAGACAGACCTACGATGGCTGTGTATAAAGAAAGTACAAAGTGAAATAATAGTTGGAGATCCGCTACTGAAAAACAAAATTACTTCCTAGACAATACATACATCATGTAACCATCAAACCGTATCGAAAAGCGCCCGCAGTGATGATCGTATAAAAACATGTCGAGCTGGGAAGATAAAAAAAAAAAAATCAAAAGTTTATTACATTATATTATTATTGTGTTATTTTTTCAAGAATTCAATTCATTGTTTCATTTGGAACTTACCACTGATGTTCAAACTCCCTAACCCATGTTCGGTATTTATCAGCTGAATCGAATACCATACCAAAGACTAAATGATTTTTACAACCTCTTTCAGCACAATTAACAATATAAAAATACAAAAGATCCATCAAATATTACCATCCACATTCCACATATGAAATATAATTTACTATCTTCAAAATTACAACACCAAAATCAAACTATTTTTAATCTTCGATCATTCCAACACAAAAGACAATAAGCGAGCAGCAATTTAATTGCGAATGCATAATATGATTTATATTTACTAACGAAAATCAACCTTATCGGAGTCACACTGACGCACTAATTAAAAACATACACATAATATAGTTAATTTCCATCAATGAAAGATACCTCATTCTATTAAACTCAACGAAATTGAACAAAATATTACCATTTGCACATTCCTATTTGAAATAGAGAGATCATTCTAATTTTTAAGTATTATAATCACCTGTCTTAGTGGAGCACCCAAAACTCTCTTACCGTCTTTTTAAACTCTAGAAAAGACGCCAATAACCCATCGTATGACCTAAATCAATTTAATTATTCCAGACTCATCAGCCGAAATACTGAGAATGCATTCTCAATCAATGGCCTCCATCATCAAAATTCGTAATCATAACCAATGCAACTCTAAATTGTAAATTAATTTTAAAAAAATGTTCTTGTTTTTTTTATTGTATTATTATTCTCTGTCTGAAAGTATATAAGAATATTTTTATATGACCATGTTCGCCCCTATATGGCTTATGCTAGAGAGAGTTTAAAGTAATAATTATAAAAATCTTTGTTACTTGACGTATGGTTTTGAATTTTTATGACACTATTTTTTTTTTTTTTTTTGATTTAAATATAATATGCTATGTTGCTTTTAAAACATTTCATACTTCAAAAAAAAAAAAATATATATCGCTCCGAAAGGCTGAATATTTAATGTACATAATCAAGTACTGAAGCGACAATAATATCATGTTCCACGTTAAAATAAAGAAAAGTTACCGCCTCTAAAACAGAGCCATCGGGTAAGTATATACTATTGTTTTGTAAATATCACAGTTTTACGAGTTAATCTGACATTGACATTTGAAAAAAAATACTCAGTAATTATAAAGCTAAATGGTGCCGTTGAATTTTCATTTCCATATTATAATATTGTGTTTAAAATGTAAATGTCAAGTACAACGTTCAACTTATAGTAATGCGAAAACGAATTATGTTCAATTTTAATTTTTAACTGCTTAGTTCCATTAACTGCCATGGTTGAGTTGGCCATATATTGTTAGACTTTTTTTGTCAGGTTCCCCTTTCTATTCATTATTAATGCATTTATCAAGTTCAAATTGTTGGTGTTAAGTTGAAGTATTTATTCAAAGACCACAATTTTAGATAGTTTTAGATTTGGTATACCCTCGAAAAATGAATTGTACGGCGATAAGTTATTGTTATTTTATCAAACAATAACCACCCTTTTTACTATAAATTGTTAATCAAATGATTGTTTTGAAAACGTCAATGTGTGTATAAAATATAATAGTATATACTTAAAAGTTTTCAGTTTATCACGAATAATATAATTGAATGGGGGATGAGGTGACCGAGTGGTCTGACGCGTCCGCTGCGACGCAGCCGGTCGCGGTTCGATCCTCGGCTACCGGGCGGCATTTTTCTCCGGACAAGTTCCTACGGGTGCCCCATTCGAAATTCTGCCAAAAAACAAACACACACGTGTTCCCCCCTACCGTTCCAAAAAATATACAATACAAACTACAATACAAATCCTACTACAGCTAATGGCCTCAGTTGCCGAAGCTTAAGTTCAATAAAAAAAAAAAAAAATATATAATTGAATTACAACAATAAACAACAAAAATTGTTATTTTACGTTTAAATATCTGATTTTGTGCAAATATTAACTTAAAATGTCTAAAATATGAAATCGTGTCCAAATAATTTTTTATTTAAGTATAACCTACTTTGAAGAACCTTGCGTTATATTTTCAAGTCTTAAAAAAAATTGTAAAAATTGAAAGTTTTGATGAATATTATCATCATTTTAACTCTGAATGCTTATAAAAATGAATAATGCCTGTGTATATTTAATATCCTTTTGTTACATTTTAAACCTTTTGACGGAGAATATTTTTTTATCGATATTCATAGAAAAAAAACAAAAATAATCAAAAAGTAGAAATATTTTATAATATACAAATGCTAATATAAAGTAGGTAAAACATTTGGTGAAAATTGCCAGCTGAGTTATATCAAAAAAACAAACTTTTGTTCGATGTCTTTAAATATGGGTTTTTCTTAAAAATGCACGTTTTACTCTAATTGGTTTTTGGTTTACGGAATCATTTAAAACCAAATGTGAATTTTTTTTACTTTTGGTCCCCCAAAGTACCAACTAGATTATATAAGATAAAATGAATTTATAGTATGTAATTAATATAATGTAGTGATATAAATCGTATTTATTATATTTTTTATTGCCACCTTTTTGATATCCTGGTTACTGGTTGTTTATACGTATAGTTGTATCAATACAATAATGATGTCATAATAGTTAAGAGATACATTTTTTTAGAAACTGTTAGTATCGTTCTATAATTTTTAATTTCATAAATTATTCAAATTTAGTCAAACAGGTGCCCGAACCATAACTTCAAAATAAATAATTACAAGGAAAAATATTTTAATAAACTATTAGGTAGACACAACTTTAATAATATGAAAAACTTTTTTTTAAACTACTTTTATTACAATAAATTAACAAATTATTTACGTGTTTGTGATATAATTTATGTATAATATATTTATGAAATATTCTAATGTATTATTTACATTTCATATATTGTGTTTTAACTCATTTGTATACAGTACAATAGCTTTTTCAATTTTTTAGTTAATTTATAATACACATATTCACTAAGCATTAAAACCGTGTGATTTTGGTAGACAATAACTGATCCTTAATGTTCAAACAGAAGTTATTTAGGTTTAATGGACGAACAACAAAGGTTTTCACTGTAATCGAACATTTTTTAGGAATTTTCTAGTCATAATAATTTTAGATTAAAATTCTTAAGTTTGGCTTTTAATCACAAATATTATAATTTTGATCAGGTAACTATGTTACCTAAAATAATTACATTTAATGTACTTCTAAATATTATTGTTTTTTTTTTGTGTACCTTTTCAATGCATTATTTTATACACAGATACATTCAATGGTTGAGCACTTCGGTATTATATACTTATATCTATACAGAGACATCGAAAATGACTTAGGAAGACATTCATTTTTGTCAGGTATGGATGAGCTTTTAAGGTCTATCTTAAAGAAGGATAATAATCAATATAGATTAATCCTGTAGGCTTGACTTTTGAGTGAATTCTGGTCAGTGAAAATGTTTGTGTTAGAACATACTAACATCACATTTTAAGATGAATAAGTAATGAATCGTCATTACGACTGTGGTACGATTAGACTCGATGTAAGTCACATAAAGAGATAATTCCACATGGCCACATACCGCAGTAAACATGTAGTGCCTATTTATATTATTTTCGAGCCTGAGTATTTTTGATAGTAGTTATATTAATATTGCATTAAACTATTATTATTTTTTTTTTATAAAATTAGCGATTGGTAGGTATAACAATATAACGTAAAAGCTGCAAAATGTATGGTTAACCATGTTAATATGTTATTCAGGCCTTATTTTCTCCATTCACCAGTTAATCTTACTATTGATAAGACTCTTAGGTTTAAATTTAATGACACTGTATTTTTGATATAGGTCTAACAATCTGAGGATGTTAATTTTTTTTTTTCATGAAGACTTCATTGTTGTGTTATTTGACGTAATGGCGGTAGTTGACATCTGGTATACAGGTAAATTATATCTTCTTCATTTTGTACATAATATTGACATATTATATAATGTATACATAACTCATAATCAGGGTTCGGGACTTATAGCACTTAAAAACACAATAATAAGCGCTAAAATATGCACTTAAAAACCCTAAAATATGCATAAAAAATTAAAAATATGCATTTAATATATTTTTTATTATTAATTAGCTTATTAATAATTATTAATTACAATTAGTGTTATTAATTACAATTGGTGTACTTAATATAAACAATTTAAAAAAATCTACTGATCCGAGTTTTTTGAATTTTATTCGTCAACTATATAATGATAGGAAAATTAAAAATTAAATTTTTCATTTAAATCAATAAATAAATAATTTTACATTTACCGTAAATACCTTTAGTTTCAAAGAACGTTTAATAACTGTAATATATTAAAATTATCGTATCGCTCGTATCGCTCGTATCGCAACTATTATATAATATGTAACGATACGGGCAATCAGGCCATCATAATATTTTCAAACCACGAAAATTATAAGGAGTTGTGAGTTGTACATAGCAAATTGGTACATAAGACTGCGAGTAAGCTGCATTACTATTTTCTTTTTTAGATCGGTTGAAATTTCGAAAATGTTTCTAAAATATGCAAATTAAGCACAATAACTTAAAAATAAGCAGTTTCCGGCAAAATTGATGAAATATGTAAAAATATGCACATTCAAATTTTTGATTTGGTATCACGGCATTGAGAAATGAATTTATTTCGCACTCTGCTACATTTTACAATAAATAAAAAAAGTATGCAATTGCTTTAAGTCCCGAACCTTGCTCATAATATATGATCATGTAATGTATTTTAGCGTGTGACCATTTGATACAATTAAAATTGTGATATATTTTAGTATTAATAATAAAAATAGTTAAGAAACATTGATTATGGTTTTTTTTCTAATATTTAATTTCTGTTTAGTTAACATTTTAAACATAATGGTATACGTTGTAGATATATATGGTTCAATATAGCTCATACTACAAAGAGTTTTAATATATAACTATAGCTGCTAGATAAAGATTTTCTCAAAAAAAAAATTGATAGAGTTATTTTCTGACCTGTTCCATAACGATGTATTTTTGCACTAAAAGTGTAGAATACGTTTTGATAGAATGTTTTGACTATTTTAGGCTAAGAATAGTTTGACGAATGACGGTGAAACAATATGGTACAAGAATATTAATTCATGAATCGTATATTTCTTATGTAAAACATCATGGGCACATACAACGTTATACAACATATTGCATGCGTATTCGTACTACAATTCTTGAACTCCTCCTTTAAATTAAGACATTGAGTCACTTCTCATGTGTATATAATTATAAATACACTGATTTCGTGTATATAGACAAATCGAATGACATATCGTGGTATAATGTCGAGTTTACAATTGACATACGTACCTAATTACTTATAAAATATTTATATGAATAATATATTTTAAAAACGAAAATAATATATTCTTAAACAATTTCTTAAATTTAATCATTTGTGCATTTATATATTCACCTAACATTGTATACTAGAAAAACAATACAGATTATAGTACTTGGAGCTGACATTGATTAAGGCAACTTTTATAATTTATTGTATATTTATGTTCTTAGTTTCAAATCAAAGGAATGCGAGTAAAGAGACGGTGGAGAGAGAGAGAGCATCATTCCTCGTGATTTTCCACACCTACCATATGATCATATTATATCGATAACTTTTGTTAATATCACACTATTATTCTAGATTAGTCTGACATGTGCAAAACGTAGTAGTAACTTATATTTGTAAATGCCTGCCAGCAACGGTGTTATTTAAGCGCTTAAAATATAATTCCCAAATGAACCAGATTTTGAGTTATATGAATTTTCGACAGTTACAAGTCATTTATATTGTTCGATACTAGCTTTCACAGTAATTCAGTAGGTAGCTTTGTTGTAGGTATTATATAATTATATATCATGCCGTCCTACTACTTCCACGTTTTACTGTACTACGTTTAACCGTACTAATCTATGAGTTATGACATAAATATTGATAATTCGTCAATCAGGAATTGCGTATGCCTTTTGCTTTTTTGTCGTTTCAATAAATGTGTTAAAAAAACGCTTTCTTGTATTTTTACGTTTCGATCTGTAACTGAAGTCCAGTTGAGAGCATTGCATTGATAGCGTTTAACTTCGAACTAACGTTACATTGGCCTAACTAGTAACTACCACCTTACTGTCGGTCTTTCTTCATTCTCCACATTGCAACAAAAAGTTAAACCACAATTATTAATACAATACTCACTCTTTTCGACGTGCACGCATTGTCGAGAATCAACGCCACAACTAATGTCATGCGGAGCGCCGTCGATGACCAGTCCGGTCGCATGGCACTGCCGCTGCAGGAGCGGTAAATCGATAATCGTTCCCTCTTCGATCTTGATACAAAATTTAAAAAAAAATAAACACTCCAAAAATACGGCTGATTGTAATATCCAGCCCGTGGATAATGAGACACGCACTAGAGGAAAACAATAATTGATTATTATCACAATATATTGACATTACACGGGTTCGGTATTAATAATTTTCGTCGTTCGTTGCAACTATAATACGTCTGAACCGCGCGCTCAGACGTGAACGGGAAAATTAACGGTCGTTTGGATGGTCGTGGCAGATTTTTATCGACAGATGACCTACCGCCTGGAATATAATATTATGGGTAGGGAATGCAATGTGGTGTGGAAGGGGATAGCTCGTTTGTCTTCGGCATGGGCCAAGTGCAGCATCTGCCGCCTCTAATATAGCATTATGTATTATAAATATTTGTTATGTTTTTACTTATACTTACCTAATTATAATATTCTCATACGGGTAAATTGCATATTATAATAACATTTAAGCATAAAATATAAGCCCGCACGTCGAAGACGACCCGACGCAACCTTGTGCGAGCTTCATGATCCTCTTGAGGCGAGTACCGGAAATGCGGGTTGCCGAGTCCCATCCTGTTCTACCGACGTATGTGGTTGAATCACGGCTGATGGCCTATAAAGGAATGTACTAGTAGTAGAGAGAGAAAGAGAGAGAGAAAGAGAGAGAGAGAGAGAGAGAGAGAGAGGCAGAGCGAGATAGAGATGTTCAGGGGCCAGCCTACTGGAAAAAGATACCACATAATATTATCTTAGTCCAACTATACTCATTATAATAACGAGAGTGAAATAGGGCACTCTCAACAACCTGAACCACATTTTAAGGAAAAGATAGTATACAGTGTACAAACCTAACCTAACCTGATCCCCTAATGTTTTTTCGCTTAAAGAATGATTAAAAGTCCCCGTGATTTGACGTCTGCATTACAACTTGTAGTGCTTTACGATAAGGATTCGGCATCGGTAGTCGTGCTGATGGCCGATGTTCATGGTGCTTGAAGTTAAGAATTTGTTTAGTTATTATGTAATATTATATAAAGTTTAGGGAAGGATAAAAGTGTATCAAAAGTACATTTCTGGTTGTGTCACCAATACTTATTCTACGATTTCTTTGGTTCGTCCTTTCATCTTACAATGATCAATGTATTCGACCTGATGATAATAATATTAGTTTTGCACCCACATCCAATAATGAACCAGAAAAATACATAGGTATGATTCCTTTTTGTGCAAAAGTGCAGTAAATAATAGTTTAATATAGTATCATAGGTATGGTATAACGTGTGGTCGTATGGGTATAATATCGGTTATACATAAAGCCTATATCAGTGTTTCCAACCTTTTTACCACCACGGACCACTGCGATAATATTTTATAGGTAGCGGTCCACCTCAATTTCACGAAAACTAGCGAGACCTTTTTTTTTGCACACATAATACGGTTCCTCAATAAGCTTCAATGTTTTTCGCTATTTAAATAAAAAAATAAAGAAAAAAATCTATGGTACCACCTATGATTGGCCCACGAACCACCGGTTGGGAAACACTGGCCTATATGTTTCTATTAATCAACCATATCAGTAAAACATAATAATATGATATAGCTATATAGGCATTACCTATCGCCTATAATACAATAATAGGTATTATACTGAGAAATGTGCACTTCGCGTTGTATTTATAAATAGGTGCCGACTAGAACGTACCTACCTAGTTCTTACTTTTTTTTAAATAAAACCGTCGATAGTCATTGACTAATAATGGGAGCTCAATACTGATATTCCTAATAAATTGACTAGTGACTATTGTAGAGAAATTTTGATTTATACCGTTTTCATATAAAATGTAATGTAATTTAAATAATGAAGATAAATAAACTTAGTTTGAGCTATGATTTCAATCAATATATTAGCAGATTACCCATTCCTCCTGTCAACATTCAACATTACTTGATAGATAAGTACCTACCTAAGTATAGATGTGATTAATTGGTTTTTTACCAATCGTTGATATAATATGTAACTTTGTAAAATTGTAAATTAAATATGGAGCCATGGAGGTTTATTCATAAGTAAATATTTATTATTAAGAAAATATATAATTTAATTTTTTTTATTATTATTATTATTATTTATGAGCTCATAAGATTCGCCATCTCCTTAGTTATTAGTCTAATGTTCAAACTACATATACAAAATCAAATTACAACTATAAATAGGCACTTATGTTGGGTTTCATCAATTGTTGTAAAAATAATTTATTTAAATTTGTTTATTTTTTTATTTTATGACATTGTATTATACAGTATTTTATGGTAAAAGCCATGTTTATTATAGATATTAAATTATTAATTTAATTACAACTTCATATAGAAAATAATTTTTTACTAAGTGCAATATGAATAATAAAATGTTTGTACATGTGTATTGTGTATGCTGTATAATACCCACACGCATGTATACATCTATGAAAATCTTAGCTTCTTAGGAGTAAGGTGTTTATATTTAAATTAGAAATTTCAGAATTTTGATTTTTGGAGCTCATTTTTTTCATAGAGGGCTTTTTCTAGGTTGTTCGGTATGAACAAGTTATTTCGTATATTTTAGTATTCTGGACAATTTTTATTATTACCATATAATATAAACTATAATTTATGTGTTGGCTTGTTGGACAGCTTGGCATTTATTTCATTTGAGTGGTGATCATCTTTGGTAAGGAGTTTTTGGGTTAAATAGAAATGTCAATGATATGAAAATCGGATTCTGGATCTCTATTTGTTAATTTATTATTTAATTTTTCTTAAACTTAAATATTTTTGTAATGTTATGTACACAATTTTAGACCCAGTTTTAGTGCAATACAGTTCTCAGTTCTATTGCACATTTACACATGTAAATATTACAACCACATGTGCAGTTGTATAATTGCCCATAGGCCATAAGTTTAATGTGTTAAATTTTGAATTTAAATTCTAAAAACTTATTTGTATATTTTGAGTTACAAGTACAGTAATTGGCAGTTGATTATTCATTCACATATGAAATATAAGCGAGAACAACGCAACAATAATAATATTTGAACCGGAAAGTTGAAAAATTAGGTACTTCAAGAAGTTATGAGTTATGGCCGCTCGAATAATGAATCAGACTCAACTTTTTCAACAAACGTGACTTGTTTGTACTACAAAGTCCATAAATCCAAACTAAAATATTATTGTTCCGTGTCATTATACAATCAAGAATGTAGAAAATATTAAATTTACTCAAAACGTTTTTTCGTACACATTACATTATACATAATATTATTATAATATATTAATACTGTCATTGGATTATTATTATTTACGACAACTTTGTCCAAAATTACGAAATCATTTTTAAATTCAAAATTATAAAATATTTTCTAGAGTTTGCATGAACAAATAACTAAATCGTAGTAACTACTTATAATTTAAGTGTTACCTATTTTTTAAAATCAAGATGACTCTCAACAGTTATAAAAATAGTATACAACTGAAATTGTACATAAAACTATTCTATTTGGATTTTTGGAATCATAATATCAAATAATCAGATTAATATTTGGCGTAATAATTGTCCAATGGCAGAGAGATTTTTGGTGATGAGGGATGACTGCATTATTAAATAAAATATAATGTTTGCAATGTATAATAATTATTAAAATAATTGGCATTTATTAAATTTAAGTGGCCAATTTCATTGACCACAAGCCATCACAATTTACAAATATTACTGAATACCAGCTTTAGACAGATATAATATGTTTTAATCTCGAAGATTAACCAAAAATCTTCTGGGATTTCGGATTTATAATATCTTAATTGACATCATTGCATTTTTAATGAACAAATATTTAATTCAAAATACATAGGTATTAAACAAACAATATGAACTATTTTAGTACTTTTTTTGTAGGTACTGAATGGTGGAACATAATTAGGTTAATTATATTTAAGCCCGGTTAATAGTATTAATTTTAATTATTGGGTTTAATAAGCTAGTTTCAAAACAAATCGTGAAACTTAAATAAAACGAAAACGAAAACGAAATATAATTGTTTTCTTCTACAGGGAATTGCTGTATACAATTCCATGCCAGGAAAAATTGAATCTCCTTATTATATAAAGCGATTTAAAATTCCAGACTTAATTATCTTACTATATTTTATAAAACTGTAGACTGTATCTAATAGCTACTTAGGTGCCTAAGCAGGTATTTGTCTTTTTTGAAAATATCCTGTTTAATTTAATGCATTTTTATACAACACACTTACCCACAATATAGTCTTTCTCAATTGACAACAATTAATTTTCGTCATATGTTCGGCAATACAGTTGTTTCAAATCCATTAACCTCGTTTTCTTCATTTTAATTCAAAACAAGATAAAATCTTCTTGGGTTTACAATGATACCACTATATTATTATTATTATTATTATCATTATTATTATTATTTTTTGTTCTTTAATTCTGTAATTACTTTTTCACCGTGTTTCCGGTCACAAACTTAGCATACAGCTTGAAAGGTTTTCTTCAGATCGTAATTTAGGGTGTAATCTCATTGAGTTTTCTTTCATAAAGTGAACAAAAAGAAAAACACGGTAATGACAGAGTTGGTACCTAGCTAAACGTTGTTTTTTCCTTTGTTTGGTCTTTTAAGGAATACAAATTGACAAAGAGAAAAATTATTATAAATTGCTAAATTGAAAATCATAATTTCACCTTCATCTATAACTATGGAATTCACAAATAAGATATATAATAACATAGTTTAAGGTATTGGAATAAATAATTAATTTATATATTATTTTAAATCTATTTTTAAAGAATCCTATTTTTTAAACAACCAACCACTATTGAATTTTAAAATATTATTTATCGACATTATAAATTGAGTACTAAAAAAGTATTTATGTTATATTGTCTGTTTTCCACTAATTGAAGACGTTTTCTCAAAAACGTTTGTATAAAAAAATATAATATTAACAATATTATGCATTTATACTAAACCACTATTTTCCGAACTACATATGAGAACATTATTTATTTTTCGCTGTTAAAATGCAGTACAAGATATACATCAACAAGTTGATACTTGATTTCAAGTATTACATCAACGATTAGCGCATGAAATATAAAATATATTATTAAGTACTGGCGATAATACACCGATGGTGGTGTTAATGTAGGAATACGAAAATACTGTCAGTCTTAACAT